ATTTTACTATTATTTACTCTAAAATAATATATATATATTAATTCACATGTTAAATGTAAAAAAAAAAAAACAAGCCAAAACTCTAATTTGTTCTTTTACGATGTTTGACCATGAATGTTTTGCAGATATGTGCCATTATTTGAAAGAAAGGTGTGCATAATACGGATGGAAAAATGGGAAATCTTTCTTTTAAGCTGTTATTTTACAGATTTCCTCATTTCCTTGAATTAAAGATAATAACCACTAAAATAATTTTTAAAAAGTTGTTAATTTACATTGTAATTGTAAAAAGAACCAAAAGGAAAACAGGTACAAACTCTTCATGAAGTTAATATTCAAACATCTGTAATTTTACCAACAGTGATTTGTTCTTTTACAATGTTTGACTGTATTTAATTATACTTAAATCAGCAAAACTGTTGTATTGTTTTGCAGATGTTTGCCATTATTAAGACAAATGTGTATATTAAGGATGGAAAAATGGGACGCGTGTGTTTTTAGCTGTTATTTTACAGATTTTCCCAGATCTTGTAAAATGTGCGAAACAAAAGTATTAATTTTCACACTTACAGTTAAAAGAAACAAACAAAAATAGGCCAAAATAAACTGTAAACAATGTCCACATGTATTTAAAACTGCTAAAAATCTCATTATTTTACTGACCGTCACATTTTTAACAGTAATCCATTATTTTTTTTCTGCCACCTTCGCTGCCAGAATGTATTTTTTGACATTTTTAGGGAAGTCTGTTGTTCACATGACAAAGTTGGTCAATTTCACTACACGAGCTCTAAGCAAGGCCACGTCAAACCTACCTGAAGTGAGTTGCATCATCATATCAAGACTTTCTTACAGTGTGTTAAGTATTTCAGTTGATTTATTCTAGTTTATTAGTTAGCTGGAGAATGGAAGCTCACCTGGAGAGTTGGCCATGGAGGCGTGGAAGACGGAGAAGTTGATGAGAGCGTAAGAAGCCAGGAAGAAGTTGGAGATGATGGGAGCGATGATGTTCAACTCCGCTGGGAGACGACAACAGAGACGTTCAGTGTCAACAATCAGGACTTCAACCTGCTCAGGAGCTTTGAAGGTAAAGACCTACCGATGAGGATGAAGGCGAGGCCGATGCAGAAGGTCAGGACGTAGCCGCGGAGGGGCTCGTTGTTCTTCCCGTAACCCTTGGCGAACACGCCCAGCCCTGGGTAGATGTTGTCCTTACAGAGCGCCTGGAAACCACCACAGCCTGGATTAATGCCGTGATTTCATAAAGTTTTATGAGTTTAGCAACTTTTGAATCGGGTTAAGGCCTGGATGGAACGGACTGGACCAGCCTTGGACAACCCTCTGTGCATGAAACCAATCTGGACCCATCTCAGAAGTCTTCACTCAGGATTCAGGTCTTTATTCTATGAATTGAGTACGCTGTAGTTTTCCTCCGTCGTCAGGTTCTTACCAAGAACCATGAAATGTAGCTAAAAGTGATGGACACAGCTACTTAGTTGTCTGACTATGGTTTGAATAGAAAGGAATCTTCACATCTTCTGCTTCCTAGCATAAGCCCCATTTGTGCAGTAGCTGTTTTTGTCTGTGGAGACCATTGGTGGTATTTAACTTTCTTGCACCTTTTTGGTATTCCCATTTAAACGTTAGGATTAAATGTTCATCCTTGACGTCTGAAATCAACGTCATGTAAGAAACGGATTGTTTTTTGGTAGATTTACAGTCTTACTCCTTCCAACAAACAGTGAATGTTTAGAATGATGCACGTTTGACTTACTGCTGTTGGCAAAGTGATAAAAATCAATCTGTGTGACAAAAATAAATGAAATGTTTGGTTTCTGACCTGGAAGACTTTGGGCGCGCTGACCAGCGAGGCCAGAGCCGACGACAGAGTGGCTGAAAATATCCCAGCAGTGATCAGAGGACCGAAGCCCGACACCAAACTCATCACCTGGACGAAACACAGACACCTTTAGCTTCACACTGACCAGCCACAGACTGTGTGTAGATTACAGCCCTGTTATTGTTTAAAGAGTGTGTATGACATCACATAATAATACGTAAAAACAAGAGTTCAAAAATCTCATTGAATGACTGTAGAAGAGCAGGATACTGAAGACAAGGCAGGATAAGAACAAAAATGCAAACTCCTTATGTCAACATTCATAAAGACAAACCAAATATTTAAAGCAATGAAACCCCAACAGTCAAATGCAGTTGTGACTTGATAATCGACCCTTAACAATCCAGAACCTGCTATCCGACAGGTTTTTAGGAAAAACCAACAGAACCCATAAAAACAGCCTTAACATAGCGACAGCCTTGGATTGTGACTCCGACATGACATTTAATGTCACCAATCAGGATGACGGCGTATTATCTGACTGAACAATCCCACAGATTGGCTACGTTCACACTGCAGGACTTGATGCTCAATGAGGATTTCTTTGTGACTTCCTTCACGTTTCCACTTCAATGCGACTTGTATGTGATCTGCTGTGTGAACTTCATACGAGCCAAAAGTGTCCCGCATGCGCAGAAGAGGACACGACGACGTCACACGCAGCGAGCGTGCTCAGTGTTTATGGAAGTAAACATGGATGGTAACGGTGGAGCGTATCTGCCACTCCCCCGCCGCCACCGATGGTGGAAACAGAAGTGTGAGCGCTAACTAAACTAGCATCAGCAGCCAAGTACTGCCTGTGTGTTCTGGACATTTCCACCCCGTCAGAGCGCTGCCCCGGGGTGGAAGTGTCCCCCGACCGCACCGAAGGTTCTGATATTCATCATTAATTGGGTCTGAATATCCAGAGAGCAGAAAGTTCTATTGGGACCAGCCCTACTAGTTATTATAACAACTATGAACAATAATGAACAACTAATGAGCCTTCCAGCATCAAGCCCTCCTCGTATCTGGACCTCCGTCTTGACAATCCGACATAGAAGAAGGTTTTACATTTAGTGTCGGATTATCGAGTCACAGCTGTAATAGTTTTTTTTTTTACTGTATATGACACATTTAAAACAACGACCTTTGTGCCAAAGTGCTTTTCTATCAGAGAAATGAGACTTAATTTACAGAACCAGTTTAATATGCCTGAGTAAATGCTATCATTAGGACCCTCCAATGTTTTATGAAAAACAACTTTATTGGTATAATTTAGGTAATAGGATGACGACCCCACGATATTATAGATATATAAAATATGTATATTATATGTAATATTATAGGAACTGCTCCGATTTACAAGGAAGAGATCTCTGGCAGAACCAGGCTCAGGGAGGGCAGACTGGCTGGGGTGAGGGTGAAGGGGGGAGAAACTAGAGAGCATCGGATCACAGGGTGTAATAGGTTGCAGGAGACGTTCATGTCTTTAGGAAGGCTTAAAAATAAAAATAAACCAACCAGCAAACTGGTTCCCAACACAAACCAGTCATGTCTCAGTGGGAATCAATTGGTTTGCAGAACCAAAAACAGCCACACACTGCAGTGGTTCTGTTGGCAAAATGCATCAGTTCTCTATTCTGTGTTTGGTTCTGTTGGCCCCGAATGGAACTTGTGGGTTTAGAACAGTGCCGTGCGGCGTCGCACATCTCCACCACTGTCCAAATGGGACAACAGTTCCTAGATATGTCAAGTTTGAAGCACATTTTGCACCCGTAGAAGGCAGCAAGGCAAATGCAAATAGAGAAATTCTAGCTTGTCATTAAACAAGATGATTCCTGTTGTCAAACCCTGATGCTCACCAACATGATGTGGCGTCTGTTGGCATGAAGGAGGACCACAAACACACCGATTAGACCAACAAATGAACAAGAATTAGAATAAAACCGCTGTTTCTGTCTGCAGCGACGCACGGGACCGCACACAGTGTCAGCGATATCAGTGTCAGCGAGCTGTGCGAGTCCGTCTGTGCGTGTGTGTGTCAGTTTGTGTGTCTGTCTGTCTTTGTGTGTCTGCGCGAGTGTAGGTGGACGCCGTCAATGCTCTCATTCAGCTCCGACCAGCGAGAACCTTGTGACTCAAAACAACAGCAGCTATTATCTCTGCTGCACTTTGCACTTTGTTTGGGAACAACTCCGTCACGCGCACACACACACACACACACACACACACACACACACACACGCTTGCACACAAACACACACATGCACACACACAACCTCTGCATCTACATTTCATCCACATGCACAGAAACAGGATCAGAGCTGCAGAGTGACGTGATTTAAACTCTTGTTAAACCAGAGCTGAGCTCGCATGCGTCATTTATAAACCTGTTGATGTCTTTACAGCAGTGACGTGCATAAAATCGATATTTCGATCAATATTTTCGATCCAGTTCACATAAGAACCCACGAGTATCACAGTGTTCGATTTACGTGCAGAAGAAAGTGACAGAAGGTCGTTAGACTGTAAGAAATGAGCGTTATTTGTGTTCTTTGTTATTTTATCGATTTTCCCTGTTTTGTAAATTTGGAGAAAACAATGGGTGAAATTACAACAAAAACACAAAATCAAAACTGTGAATTTCTTTAAATCACTTCCAGGCAAAACATCCATAATTTACCAGATAATTACATGCAGCTGTACATTTCTTCACTGTAAAATTACATAGGTTTTACCATAACTAGCTCCCCCTCAGTGGCCTTTTTAAATGTTAAAGGTTTAAAAAAAAACTATTGTTCAGGCCAAAAAATAAGTTTTTAACCAACCAAGTTTGAACATTTTGAATGTGCTACGTTCCGATAGTAGCTACAGAGTTGGTGGTATGTCGAAGAATGTTAGCAGCTCAAAACATTAAAATGTGTGAAGTGTTTGTCTTGTGATGCAAAACATCTGTAAAACTTTTTGCAGTTTTATATATCTTGACTGTAAAACTACATCATCTTACCATAATTAAATAACCCTCTTAAATTATTTTAAAGAAACAACCCTAAAAAAAAGTGTAACAAAAAAAACAACCCTAAACATTACTTAAAACTTAGAAGCAGCGATACAGAGTCGGTCATTTGTGAAGAATGTTTGCGGCTCAAAATGTAGAAGCGTGTTAAAATCTACGTCTTATCATGAAAATACAGTGACGTGATAAATAAAATGTCCATTTAGCGTCGCATCAAGCTGCACCAGTGGTATGCTAGTATGCTAAGAAGGCTAACTGACAGCTGTTAATCCGACAGCTGGAGCTGCAGTCAGTGTTTCAGTCAGAATGGTGTCGATGTGTGGACGATGGGAAATAGGACAGTGTTGTATCCTGACACGGCTCCACCGCCAATGTGTAGGCTTCCATAGGAAACAATGGCTGTGGGTTGTTCTGTTCACGTCACGCTCTGCCAGTGTGTGCTGGCCTTTATGTAATACGAATTCCTGAGATTCTCTGTCCTCAGTGAAGTAAATAATAATAATCATGATAATTCCCAAAATGTTGCTTCGTCTTGAAACCCTCTGTGGAATTCTCACTTTTATTTAGCATCCTGGGCGTTTCTGTGGAGGACAACTGGACTTTCCTTTATTTTATTATTTTTTTGAAGGCGTTTCTCATCCAAGAGGCTTTCTCACGTCTAGTCGTGAACAAAAGTTTAAAAGCACTTGTAAAGACAACGTATATCATTGCAGTCTTGAGTTTCCAGTCAGCCCTAGAACTCTAAATTTTCGATGGTGGAATCATTGAAACACATGAATGTTTGCCACAAAAAACTGTTGCGCATTTTGTGTTTTTTCGTAGATTTATTTAAGGTCTTCTGTAAATGTGACGAAATCTACTGTGTCAAAAATAAACATAAAGCAACTTGAATTGTTAGTTTTGGTGATGCAGAAAGCTGTATTAATCAGATTTTCTTAGTTTCATGACCTCTTAACGTCTCATGAACGATAACAGTTGACTCCAGCTGCTGACTCCTCTGATCCAGTTTCAACAGAACCATCTGATCCACTCATCAGACTCAGACACTACAGTGGGAAAGTCTGAGGAGCTCGGCGAAGATCTGGAAAAGCAAATCACTGACTTGAAGCAATTTTGGCTACAATCACCAGAAATATGTTTGGAGTAGAGAAGGTGAGACCTTTAAACCCCAACAACACCAAAAATACCATCAAGCCTGGTGGTGGCAGCATTATGCTCTCGGCCTCTGAAAAAGCAAATTATCAACTTGAACAAGTCAGAAAAGTCACTTGGAGTTTTTTCAAAGTCCAGTTATAGGAGTCATTGTAAACTCAAGACTGCCATGATATACATGGTCCGGTACAAGTGGATGAAAACGTTTGTAGACCACTGTACGTATATTAATACCTCACCTGGCTTGCTGAACATAAAGACACGTCTCAAGGTTTGAAAGTTGAGCTCAGTGGAAGTTACCTGGAAGTCGTTCATGAGGCCGTACTGACATCCGCCCTCCTTACAGATGGAGAAGTCGTAGCCCAGCGTACAGGCAGCGTCTGTACAGTTTACGGTGTCGCTAATGGTGTCGTTGTGGTCACCCGTAGCATCTCTGACAATGCAGGAACCTGCAGGAGGACAAACCAACATGTACACTGATTAGATGCAGCAGAATCCAGTTCCAGAAAGACTATCAGGCCTATTTCAAAGTGTACAGAGCTATTCTTTCTCCATTTCTTTAAAAAACAGGAGCTGTCAAAACTTAACACGGCACACCTTGCCAATATTTATCTTCAGCAGTCTTTTCATGTTCATGCACTGTTGATTTTGGATTTCACGTAATACAAATATGTAAGCATATTATCACGACTGTACCTCCCTAAAAATACAGCAGTGCAGTCAACAGAGCTGAGAAATCTGAGAAAACTAAAAAAAATTTAGTGCACAGGTGAATAAATGTTAAAATCAAGTGTCTGGTGTGAACCTGTAGAGAATGCAACGGCCACGTAGGTGAGTCCTGTGATAAGGATGGCCAGCAGGGTGCCCTTAGGGATCGCCGACTGAGGGTCCTGAAGATGGAGACGTGTTTAGGTTCAAATATATATTCAGTTTAAACATTTCAAAAAGCGGATGTAATGCACAAAAGAAATTAAAACTGATGCAAGACATAAGAGCATTCAAAGACATTTTTGAGTTGTCTAATCAGTTATTCTTAAAATGCATTAACAGTGTCAACATGGTCAAATCAGCCAATAAAACTGAGATATGGAAATGTGTGTCATCTGCATCAGTGGAAATGGATGCTACATTTGAACAATAGCAATGGCAGCATGTAAACAAAGAAAACAACTGGGGCCCAGGATTGAACCTTGAGGAACACCGCAAGAATTCTTTTACTTGCTCTTAACAGAACTTCTCAAGAGAAATGACTGTTGTCTTCATAATGTTTATTAATTCCCATTTTGGAGTTTTACATTAGAAAAGGTGCCATAATTTAGAAAAAGAAAGCCCTCCAAAAAATGTAGTATGCTCCCTTCAGATGGTTTTTGACTTTTTTCAAATAAGAGTTTGGCATAATGGGAGATGTAAGCACCTTTTCCAATTGATGGACTGAGTTTTGCTTTTCTTACTGTTTCTTACAGCCATGCATAACGTAGCCTTTATCGCCACCTTCTGCCAACACTATGCAGCCTAGCTGTTGTTGCAACATTTCAAAGGTTCAGATTCACTTGACAAATGTGTGGAAACATGGCTATAAAGTGGTATAAACCTCTTGAGCTGAACCACAATTCAGTCAAGGTTGTGAACCTGCTAAACGTCTGAGAGCAACCAAAAGTGAAATCATAGCAGGAGTACTGATCAAAAATAATGTGCGACCTCCTATCTGTGGATGTCAGCAAAAACAAGATTTTAGGAGCATGCTAAATTCTATAAAATGTCCTTTATGTAAGTTCCAACTTACAGTGAGGTCTCCAGAGATGTTGGCTCCAGCCAGAATCCCAGTGGCTGCAGGGAAGAAAATAGCAAACACCGAGAAGAATGTCTCGTCTTCTCTGAAGTCTGGACCGAAATTCTCAAAAAGGATGGCAGCTGTATGAGGACAGAGCAGGAACAAGGGGATATATACACCAGACTATTGATTTAAACTCTAGCAAAGGATGTGTTGAACTGATTAAAAACCGAAGCCAAGAACGTTATTATTTTATAGTAATTCAGACTGACTGTGGTAGCCAAAGAACCCTTTGGGCTCTTTGCTTTCTGCTGGCATGAAGGTTCCTATGAAGTAGTTAGCGATGGCTCCCAGCAGGATCACCAGGAGGACAATCTGAGCCTGATGTACAAAAAAACACACAGAGAGAAAGGAAGAGATGTTAGATTTTCTCTGAACCGGCTAGCGAGGACATTTCCTAATGTGTTTCAGTCTGAGGTTGCTCTCTAACGCTGACAAATAGCACCACAGATTTTCATATGTTGGTGCAGATCTGCAATAATATAGACTTTTTTAACGTCAACTACCTTTACACCTACCATAAACACTACTTTGTCCTTCGAAGTACTAAGACACCAAACTTGAAAACGCTGCAAACCATTTCAGTTTAAAAATTCTGGGGTCGTATTTTTGTCCGGACAGGTTGTAGTTGTCAATAGGTGTCCCTGACTCGTCACAGTCCTATCACATGCCCATTTACCAAAAGAATATAAAGATATCAGCCATGGCTAACAGTGGTTAATTAATTGTAGATAATAAATAAGCCTACAGGTGTTGCTGACCTGGTTGTTTGTGCTTGCACATTTAAAGAAACCTCTGGTCTGACTTTTCACTGTTGTTGTTCTGTAGTATTTTCTACAGCTAAGCAGCCAACCACCTGCTTCCTGTTTACAGCACCTACATGTCCATTGTCCACCCAAAGTTAATAAAACTAGTCCAGAAGGAAGCACGGATGTTTGTACTAAATTTCATGGCATTCCATCCAGTAGTGGCGCTCAACAAACATCGTCTCATCCTCTTGAATAGACAAATATCTGGACAACATTTGTTTCAAAACCTTTCAGTAGTTGTTAATAACTTAAGTGTCTGTGTTTCTATCTAATTGTGAAGTGAATTTGAAGAGAACTTTTGACTGTTGCCAAAAAAGAAAAGTCAAAAACAAAGCAACAGAAGCATTTTCCCAATCGCTAAAAAAAACAACAAAAATGTCACCCGGTATCAACCATGTTTGATTTCTGTACGGCGATGAAGACAATAAACCACAAAATGAAAAACAACAGACAAAAACAACTAATCAGCCATTGTTCTCAACATCAGATCCTTTTCAGAAAAAAGTGTTTTCATCTTCCAAAAAGCTCATTAATTGATTTATTTTTTTTAAAAGTCAAGTACCTCAAGCGAGCAGGAAGTTTTTTGTACTTTCGCTGTTTTCATTAATCTTTTCTAATACAATACTTCATAATGTGCATACATTTTTTTGTGGAAACACAGCTCATGACAGCTGTGCCACTAAAATCGTTAAAACTTTGGTTGGATCATGATCTTCTAACAATACCGACTCGTAAATGTCACTTAACATTTGGAGGCCTCAGGCTTTACATGATCTAAAACAGTCTTGAGTTTCCACTGCTTTTCAGTGATGTTATGGAATCTCAGTCCTACCTTGGCTTCCCACTCCATCCCAGCTACAGAGATTCCCAGCAGCAGGATGACGGTCAGAGTCCCGACGATACGAATGTCATTCAGTTCGTCAGTCATCAGGGCGTCAACGTCCTGCAACCAAAAACCAAATCAAGTTCAACAGGACAGTCCGTTCGAATCAGACCTGAAGAGGTTTGAGTAGTTACACCAAAGAACTTCTCACATTAAGCATCTCGACGACGGTCTCAGCAAAGCCTACAACATACATGGCCACAGCCACGGCGTTGGCGAAGGCGAAGATGAGGCCGATAGAGCCTCCAAACTCAGGCCCCAGACTCCTGGAGATCAGGTAGTACGCCCCACCTGGACGGAAAGGATTTCAGATACAGTTCTTAGTGCAGAGAAAACCACCTAGCACCATGATGAACTGACCTTTTACGGGAAAATTAATGCAAAATATGTCCTGAAATGTCTTTTGAATGTCCTGAAAGTTACTTTTTGTAACTTTCGTGTACATATTCTAACAGTCACAGATCATGGACGCTCTTTAGAAACAATGGGACATATCAGATCGACATTTAGAAAGTAGAAGCCATTGGGTGGTTTACATCTCACCTCCTCGTACGAAGCCATTGGTTGCTATAGCAGAGGTAGACAGACCGGTGATGGTGGTGACCACAGTGGCCATCAGGATGATCGCAATGGTCAGTCCTGTTTTACAAAAACAAGAAAAAGCTGCCAGGTTACGTGTATAATTGAACGTGTATAGTCGGGTACCTACAGCGAAGTTTGTACTCTGGTGGTTTGTGTGGTCAGACTGTCAGTCGTTGGTGTCGTTGCTTTTTTTTTAATGCTGTTAATTTACATGACGCAGTTACCCTCAACCAAACATGGCATCTGTTTTCACTGTTTACGCAGATGACACAGAACTCTATATCTGTGATGATCTGAGCCATGACATACGCAGTTAGAGATGCAAAATTAAAAAACTATTTTAACAGACCATTTTTCAAAGCTGTAGAACCTCTGTTATGGAGAAAAAAGTACCCACTCCACAGTAGGGGATGTCTCAGTGGGTAGCAGCCTTCTACTCTTCAACATCCAAGTGAATTCACCAAGTAGACTAACATACTAATGTCAATTGCTCGATTTCTTGCGTGCTCATAGAAATGCCGTTTCATCCAGTAACTGCTGCGCCCTGGTTTTGGTGCACTTTAATTACCATTGCAGTCAAAGCTGTTGGATCTTACACCACAGTGGAAACCAAAAGGCTGAAAATCGCCAATAAAGGGGCCATTTCTGTAAATGCTCATGCTACCACGCTCTGTTTCAAGCTCCTGCAATGGAAATCCACCCAATGTTCACTGCATTGAATTTAGATTCTCCATCTGCAGGGCTTTGTAACTGGGCACGCTCTGTACAGCTACTGCAACACCAAAATGATGTAGACATGTCTTTTAACTACACATATTTTCTGAAGCTACCTTCTTGGTTAAGATTAAAGCATGCAAGTAGTTATTAGTTAGTGCCTCAGTGTGTCCTTTTCCCACCACACGACCAATCCTCACTTTTCATTATTTGTTATAACTTAAGTATTTATAGACCTTTGGCCATTATGGTTTTGGTTATCATAGGAGCTTCAGCAAAACATAACTGGACCTCTTTTAGATCCTTTAAGACGTTTCACCTCTTGTCCAGGAGGTTTCTGTAAATATTGAACATCTTAACTGTTTTTTTTTTTTTTTATGTTGGACTAAAAGTTAAGCATTATCATACTAGCTGCTTGAAGAAAAATACTAAAACAACTAAGCTTTAAAAGTAAAATAAAATGTAAATGCAGGTGTAAGGTTTCAGTTAGACTGACACATTACTCTACAAAAAAATCCTCTAGGACCTCCTCTGGACTTGTTGCAGTTCTCTAAATTGAGCTGTTACAGGTTCCTCCAAGAACCGATCAAACCTCAAATGTCTAATCGCCGTGATTGATTGATATGTATGTACCGATTCCAGCCTGTCCGACGATCCAGGACATTCTGATGAAGAGCATCACACCCCAGATATTCAGCATGCAGCGGATCTGAAACACAAATAATGAACATTGTGGGGATCACAGACTGTATTTAAAGATGGACAGCAGTCTCCTAAATGTTTAATTCCTATGCAACTAAACTTTTTCTGAATTAGGCTTTGAGGGAAACATATTTTCTGCTTGTTTGTGACATTCAAATCGACATATCTTGAGATTTAACGACGCTTTACAATTGAAACACGACACGAGGAAGCAGAGTCTGTCTTTAGCTGACACTAACCAGGACTCCTTTGACCCAACCAAACTTGATAGTTCCTCCTTTCGCCTCCTTCGCCGCCAAAGCCGCCGCCTCCTCGGCTGCCGACGGCTCCTCCCCATTGGCCAGACCTTCCTCAAAGGGCTCCTGATGACCAACCGCAGCCAAGATGGAAAGAGTCAGTGAGAGAACTGGATCAAAGCTACGAAACCTCAATAAAATAGCTCAGAAACAGCAAGTAGTTGGACGATACATCCAACATGGTGAAACATCTTTCTACAGCTGATGAGCAGAGGAGAGAGGAAAAGTTTGTAGAGGCTGTAAATGTAAAAAGACTGCTGACTATCTATAATACGTGGAGACAAAACGACCGCAAAGAGACACAAATGCAGTAAAAGACAACATCCATTAGTTCTTTGCTCTTTTTCAGTAAAAAAATAAAAAAATAAGTCCTGGTTTTAAAATGAGATTTATTTGTGGATTCCCAGTAATTTTTCTTTATCTGGGGGAAACCTGAGGCTTCTGGCTCTCTGGACAGTTACGAGCTTTCCCCAGTTGTTTATAAGCTCACTGCCGATGCACAATGAGCGTCTATGCTACCTTGAACGTGGGCGTCCGGCTGGGGAAGCCTGCCGGGTCACGACAGGCTGCTTTGTGTTCAGGGAGGTTTTACCGATGGCTGAAAAACGAACCGACTTCTGTCAGGTGGACGCAAAGGAAGGATAAAGGCAGATTAAGTCTAATAATTGCATATTTCGACTCAAAAATCTGGTCTTTTCTAGTATAAAAGGATTATTTTGTGCTTTAAAATGAAGGTTCTTTGACTTGATTCAAGTAAAATGGATTTAACCAGAAACTTTATCCTTAATAATAATAATATTAATGTTCTTATTTAACCTGGACAGAAGGTACATGTCTCTGTGGAGGGTTATTTTACATTAACCAGGTTGCTTGAAATTCACGTTTGTGATTTTATTTACTGATTTGTGTCTTATGATGACAAGGTTTTTAATTTTAGCTGTACTCTTGGTGCACTTTCAGCCAAGCCTGCGTGTTTTATTGCTTACGTCTCCAAAATGTAGCCTCTGAATTTAACAGAAGTCTTTTGCAGGGATTAAATAGCCATTCTACTTTCAGGCTCCAAAGAGATGAAAAATTTAAATTTTTTCTAATCGCCCACATTATTCTGTAGAAGAACTAACATGCTCTTACATTTTCACGATAAGAGCGTGCCTCTAAGCCTAGAACTAATCTGAATATGCAAGAAAAATGTGAATAAATGGGGCTTTTACGTGTTGAAATAAAGTTATTGGTACTCATTAAAAAAAAAAGAACTCTGAATGAAAATAAATATAAACTAAATAATTTTCCCGTTAAGTAATTCTGTTGAAGCTAGATCAACTTTTACGAGATAATTTTTAATAATGTGAAGTAAATGAGTCTTACTTGATTATATTCAGTTGAAACTAACTCTTGGAAATTAGTTGAATTAATGAAGTTGACATTAATCAAGTACATTAAGTTAAACCAACAGAATTACTTGATGTTGAAATGTGGTTTCCTTTAGGTCCATTCAAATCTGGATTTACTCAGTTTATCTCAACCTAAATGAAGTTAATTCATGTTAATCAGTTGGATATGATGCCAAGATGATTTTCATCCTGGAAACATGCCACACTTCAGTAAATGTAACATGGAACCAGTTTAGGTCAGATTTTGCTGTGAAATCAGATATTTTAGGTGATAAAAATCAGTAAAAACAAACCAAAAACCAAACTGTTTATTGTTACTTTGTCGAGTTCGTCGTGCAGCTCCGACAGCGACGGTCTGGTCAGCTTCTCCCCCAGAGGCGCAGCCGTCTGCCGGTAGAAGTCTATGTTCGGCACCGCGTCGATGGTGTTGTGTCCGAACGTCCGCATGTAGTAGGTGTTGGAGTGGGAGTCGGAGATGTGAGTGTGTCCGGTACCGGTTGAGTGGAGGCTCACCGAGTCGCTCTTCGCCGTGTCCGGTTCGTGGGACACATCAGGCGGGAGCCCGATGTCCATGGCGCTGCCCAACGCGCCCGGATCCATGAAACCCACCACCCGGAACCGGCCTTTGGACTCCTCTGGAGGCCGGGATCCGTCGGTGGAGCCCGGGGCCGGAGCCGGAGCCGCGGAGGACCCCTCCGTCACCACATCCACCTGGAAGCGGCTCTGAGGGGAGCCGGTCCTCAGCGACGGTTTCTGTCCCGACATGTCCGCCCGGAGAGACTCTGGGAGCAGGAGTCAGCCACGCACCGAACCGTTGAATACGCACCAGCTCCAGAAGCAGAGAGGAGCCGCAGCATTTAACGCCGAGCAGCCAGCGGGAGAGAAATCATAGAACCGGAGTCCAGATCAAAAGTTCCACACAGTCATTTACTCTGCTGGTGTTCGCTGGCAGACTCTGGATGTGGATGGATGCGCCAGGACGCACGGCCCAGATGTGTGCGTAAAGGACACCAAGTCTCCAAGTCTCCAGCACACACACACACACATTTTAAGGTGTGTGTGTGCGTGTGCGTGTTTGTGCGCGTGTCAAACAAAGACATTTGTCATCGGTGCTGGTGACACACTGAGACATTCACTCAGATACGCACCAGCGAGGCAGCAGCAGCAGAAACATTAGCATAGCGAACAACAGCCGCTTTCTCTGCCTCAACTCTTGATGCTGGAGCCAAACACTGGACAATAAATACAAAGACAGCACGACTGGAGACAGTTAAACCGGTTTCACTCGACAGATTTATATTTATTCAGCTCAAAAGTTTAGATTCTGCCGGCAAGTTGGAGGCAGGTCCACCAGAGCCTCCTGATGGTCCAGACTTTACAGATGTGGGATGCTGGATTCTCTCACCTGATGCAGGAGGTTCTCTGTCTGTGGTGCTGAAGGAGTCACCTGCTGATGGGTGGCATTTAAAAACACTGACCCCTTGTGGTGAAACCTTAGACTGCAGGACCAAAGTACAGAGTCGTGGCAACAGCTTTTTTCTGGACTCTTCATGTGTCAATTCTTAGTGAGTTTTGTGTTTGGGAACAACAGACCAACTGATAGCCAGGTTCTGACAATTAGTGGAAACTGCAATTTGTCTTTTTCTGCCATTTTCTTGAAACAATACTTTTCTGTTTGGTGATTTTTGTTGCAAGAGGCTTTATTCAGACTGATGAAGAGAAAAACTTCAAGTGCAGTAAATCGAAGGCGGCGGGCGCCACGTTTTGCATAGAAACACCTCCGTGGACGCGTTAGATCAGAGATGAGGGGAGGAGCGTCATGTGAACGGAGCTCAGCTGAGCTGGTTCAACATCTGGTCAGGAGGCCTCTTGGATGCTGTACTATGGAGGTTTTTTGGGGGGACGTCGAGCCGGAAGGAGCCACAAAACTCTCTGGAGGGATGATTTATCTCATCTGGCCTCAGCTTAACCTGCAGCTACCAGGACTGACCCTGGATAAGCAGGAAAAAAACAGACTTGGGTGGTACCTGGTAACGGCAAAATGGACATTCATAGATGGTTTATGCACAATTTGTCTTCAGAAAGTGGTGAAGAAATGCAAACACAACATTAAACACAGCTGGAACGTGTTGTTTACGTTGTTTTGATGCAGAAGAACGTGACGTTCATCAGTTGACTGGAAACATTCTGCCTTTTCGTTCCCTTCAGAAATACAAATTGTTTTCTTTCCTGTATTATTTGCAGATTTCACTAAACTTACTGAAGGACATGTTCTCCGTGAATTCATGCAACAACAAAAAGCAAAAAGCGGAGCATAAAGATTCACCAGAGTGCAGGAAGCAAAGTGTTTGGTGCTCAGCTCTGGTAGAGGCTTCTCGTGGTCACCACAGAGCTGTTGTACCTGCAGGAAAAACAGCAGCAGACACTTGATTTCATTGTGAGAATACCAGTCGAGGCAAGCAGGCGAGCGGTTTGTTTCTGAGGTGTTCTACCTGGAGAGGTGTGAGGAGTGATGAGCCGTCACTAATGTCTGGCTGAGAGGAGCCGAGGAGGAGGAGGAGGAGGATGAAGATGAAGATGAGGATCTGGTGGTGGAGTCCTGACCGTGGCAGAGACGCTCTCGACCACAGAAACACAACGATTCCTCCAGAGGAACCGCAGGAATGCCGGCCAGAGCTGCGTTCTAACAAACAAACAAACAGAGAATGCGATTGGATGGCCTGTGGGCAGGTGCGTTTGTTTTCCTCACCTGTATGTACCTTCATCAGGAGCCTCTGGTGCTTCATGTCCTGTCTCCACGGCATCACGTACAGTTTGGGGATCATCGGGTGACGGGCGGAAAACGTCGGGATGTGGCAGGAAGTTTGTCTGGGAGCAGATCTGACAAAACAGTGTTTAAAATGTTGTTAATTAAACCTGAGTCATTTCATCTCCACTCTCTGTTTTCTAATTAAAATATTTTTTGGGTTTTTTTCCCCCTTGAGTGCACGTCATTTATAGTTCTCCAACTTCACAGTTTTTACAGTTTTGTTCTTTAAAGAGAAAAGTTCTCTACAGTCTGGAGACAAACGATTTGTATGTGAAGCGAAATGTGAAAATGAGAAACACATTCATGCAATTTGAAACCAAATGACACTGTTTTGACATGTTTTTTTTCACAAGATTCTTTTTACCTGAAAATACAGTCGTGACTCGATAATCGACCCGTAACAATCCTAAACCTGCTATCCGACAGGTTTTTAGGAAAAACCAGCAGAACCCATAAAAACAGCCTTAACATAGCGACAGCCTTGGATTCTGACTCTGACATGACATTTAATGTCACCAATCAGGATGACGGCGTATTATCTG